AGGTTCATAAACACATTCACCCAAAATTCCCCAAGGTGTTTTAGCCACTCATGGCCATTATAACATTCAATACAAATTCAAAGAATAAATAATCAACAATTGAAGTAAAAGAAAACGAGAAAGAATTCTCTCGAATCTTCCTAGCGATTTCTCTACTCCAAAGCCAATTGTAGATCTTGATGTTGTTCTTCTTGATTTTGCTCTGTTCTTGCCTCCAAAAACACAGTCTGAACCTCTAGGGTTGATGAAAGGAAGTCTTTTTATAGTGGAAACCAAATGGGGGCAATTTAGGAAGATTTCGCACCTTGTGAAAATTGTGGAACCCGCAATCTCGACGCGTCGAGCCTCCGTAGCAATCTTCAAGTTCGCGTACGTGAAATTCTCGACGCATCGAGAGCTAGGCTCGACGCGTCGAGCCTTCGACTTCAGTTCAGAATTGGCTACTGGAATTTTTGGACGCGTCGAGCCTTCGATGCCTTCATTACCACTTCATTTTGACTCCACTTGTGCTTGGAAAATCTCTCTTGCTTTTGCACTTGTCCTGTAATGGTTTAAAAACACTACCAAACACCGTAAAACATTCAAAGCAAGTGTAAAACTATATCCTAATGAGAAAGCAAGGAAAATAGGTGTTAAGCTTTCAAAATGATTCAAATTACCAATAAAAACATGTATAATTGAGATTACATCACCCCCCCACACTTGAACCTTTACTTGTTCTCAAGCAAAATAATTTGGTGAACCACAAGTCAAGTACAAGAATCACCCCACTCTCTCATGCACAACCTAGCATACCACAACCCAACTTACTACAAAACACCATGCTTCAAGAATCATCTCAGTTTGGCACACAAGCTCCATTCTCAAGTCAATATCCAAACACCAAGATTATTAGTAGTGAGAAATCTAGTGTGCACATACACTCAGTTAGGTTTATGCAAAACTTGACATCAGAAAAAACATCATATAGGCTTGCCCTTCATACTCCTCCTAGTATAGAACTAAAATTGCATGCAAAGATCAAGCAGGTCTTTATTTAGCTTGTAATAGGGCCAGAGGTCAAGGGTAATAAAAAAAAAAAAGGTATGAAATTTTACCAAAAGAGAGAGAATGACACAATTATCTATCATCTTTGAATCCTAAAAGAGATGAACCAATAATGATCAAAGGAGCAAAAAACAACTCATCAATACTGCAAAAATTCTAATGGAATGGGGGGATCTAATATAAAACTTCCAATCAAACTAAATTACAAACTAGTTTTTTTTTTCTTCTTCTTTTCATTCATATCTCTCTCTCTCTCTCTCTCTCTCTCTCTCTCTCTCTCTCTCTCTCTCTCTCTCTCTCTTTTTAACAAGCTGAACAAGAGATGAACTTTATACACACGAACAAGACCCCCACACTTAAACTTTTCTGACAAAAATTGCTTTTATGAACAAGCCCCAAAGTGATCTCTTCTATAAGGTTTTAAAGATAAAAGTTACATTCTCTCAAGGGTGGAAGGATATAAATTTGGCTAAAGGCTAAGGGGTTAATGATGAGGGTTTAACAAAGAAAGAATCACAAAGAGGGAATTAAGTGCTTATCACTTATTTAACAATGAAAAAGGCTCAAAGGGGACACAAGGGATAAACACACATATGAGTTAGGTAGGTTTAAAGGCTATAGGTAACCAAAAATGGCCTAAATCACTTCCAAACATGCAAAAATTAGACTACACCCGAGGAGTATTGAGACAAGTTCTAGCAAGCCAACCAATGCCGGAATTCCACATAATCTTTCACTAGCAATGCACTAACCACTAGATTAAGAATTTAGTCAAATTATTAGTGGCTGACAAGGGAATAGCTCAATCATGTGTTACACTTTGATTTCATCCATGGCACATTGAGATGCAGCAAGTTCCACCAAAACAGTCCACTAACCAACATGAGAGAGCAATTGCAACTAAGTGCTATGACAAGCAGTTCATTAACCAAAATGGACATGAAATTGAAAGACTTCTCCCAACCTGCTACTGTGGATTAGCATCCGGAGGCGGTGGTGGTGGGTAATGGCCCCGGTAAAACTCTGGAATGGATTGGGGATCTTGAAGCTAAGGTGGTGATGGTGGAAATTAAGGTGGGAAACCACGTAGTGCTTGGTTTTGCTGGTGCACGGATGTTCCCACAAACCAATTGACTTCATCGCTCCTTCTCCGGAAGTCATGTTGCAGCTGCATTTCTTCTTGGAATTGTCTCATAACATCCTGCATATCATAGGGCTGAGCGGGTGCAGGTGCAGCAAGCTGAGGGGCATTCTCATCAATCCCCGCGGCGTCATCCTCCTCCTCATCATCCCCTTGGGGAACGGGCTGACAAGGTCTGTAACGGGTGGCAATGTACTGCTGCGAGAGATAAGTCTGCGGTAGAACTCGGACCTCCTAGCTCTTATCGATAGGCACTCCTGCCAACTGACAAAGGTGAGTGATGAGATAGGAGTGGCCAAGGCAGACCCGCCCCTTCGCATCGGCAGTTTCTCGAATGTTTCTATTTATGATGGCACCGATGTCAATAATCTCGTGCTCCTTGATGCAGTAGGTCAAGAGTACCTGATCTTTACGGACATTGCCCTTATGTGGGTGGGGAACTATAGCTTAGCCTTAATGAGATCAAGTATAGCCCGGTCAGAAGGTTGAAAGTACTTGTAGTCCATGTGCGAGGCCATACCACCCCTGATATTCCATTCAACAGCTGGGTTAAAAGATTGAGCAATTCTATCCATCCAGTCACTAGCTATTCTGCCAACCATCAAGTCCTTGTGAAAATAGTCATCCCCGTGGTGATCTACGGTTCCATAATAGGCATTGATGGCCGCAGAAAAAAAGTCCACCCAAACACCCCGGACAGTGCATATATTATCTTGAAGGCCATCTTTGACATTGGCGTAGAACTCACGGACTACAGTGCCAAATGCATCTCCTGGTTGAGCAAAAAATCGAGGTCCCCAATTCCATGCCACGGGAACAACAATTTCCAACCCTCTTTCTTGCCTAATCGGCCTTTTAGACATCAGCCTTTGGTATATGTCAGCAACTTCAGCGGTTAGGAACCGCTCAAATGTCGAGGCTTGAGGTTGTGCCCTAGTTTGGGATGACTCCCCTCTTGGCCTTTTTAGTAGATGCCCTTGCCTTTGGTGCCATTTGAAAAGCTACAAAAAACAAGGTGAAAGCAATATACTCAAGTATTAAGACAAGACAAACATAGTCAAGATGTCACAAATGAGGCCATGATTCCCAAACTCTTCAACATTAGACATGAAACTCATTTAGACAATTTAACAAACACCTTATGGGCATGAAATTGGACAAGAAGACTTGGTGCATTTGAAGACTCCAATTCATCCCATTTATCCACCACAAGCAACCATATCAAAGAGACAAATCACCATTATCATGTACCAAAGAAAACTAGACTAAACAATGAATCAAAAAATCAAGCTACTAAAGAAATTTGCTCATTGAAGGAGATCTTTGAAAAATCTCTAATGAATCTCCTGTAAAATCCTGCATGCCCGAGGAAACTCCTTATTCCCTTCATAGAAGTTGGTGGTGGTAATTTTTCAATAACCTCCACCTTAGTCGGGTCTACCTGTATGCCTTCTTGTGAAATTTCGTAACCAAGAACAATTTTTGTGTTACCATAAAATGACATTTCTCCCAATTCAAAACAAGGTTAGCTTCTTGACACTTACCCAATGCTTCATCCAAGTTAGAAAGGCAATCATCAAAAGACAAACCATAAACAGAGAAATCATCCATAAAACTTCCATAGTTTTCTCAATCAAATCAGAAAAAATGGCTACCATGCACATTTAAAATGTAGTTGGTGCATTACATAGCCCAAATGGCATCCTTAGATAAGCAAAGGTACCATAGGGGCATGTAAAGGTAGTCATCTCTTGGTCACCGAGATGAATAGGAATCTAAAAGAATCCCAAAAAACCATCAAGAAAGCAAAAATATGAATGCTTAGCCATCTTCTCAATCAGTTGATCAATAAAACGGAGAGGAAAATGGTCCTTCCTAGTAGCTTTGTTCAACTTCCTATAATCAGTACACATTCTCCACCTGGTGACCAACCTAGTAGGGATAAGCTCATTCTTTTTATTACGCACTACGGTTGTCCCCCCTTTCTTAGGAACCACATGGATATGGCTGGCCCATTTACTATCAGAAATTGGGTAAATAATGCCAGCCTTTAACAATTTAAGGATATCTTTTTTCACAACCTCTCGCATGCTAGGGTTCAACCTACGTTGGTGCTCAATACTGGGCTTATGCCCTTCCTCCAAATTAATCCTATGCATGCAATAAGAGGCGCTGATCCCTACAATATCATCAATAGTATACCGTATGATTCTCTTATGTCTTCTTAACACATGCAATAATTTTTCAGTTTCATCATCATTCAAGTGAGCACTTACTATCACTAGATATGTAGAATTAGGATCAAGATAAGCATACCTTAAATTTGTTGATAAATGTTTCAATTCTACCTGTGGAGGATCCTTTTCTTTTTGAAAAGCAGAATTATCATCAAGACCACATACAATGGACACTTGTGGGGTGTCTAGAGATTCATATACCTCCAGTGGCTCATCTCCAACACTCATGCCATCATCCAAGTGTCCGTTCTCAATTATGTCTCCCTTGTCAAGTTGCAAGGGATCATCGGAAATCAAATCACTCCTCTCAAATTCTTCAACACATGTATCAATTTCATCTACATAAAAGCAAGCATCAAGACAAGAAGATTTGTTAGCCAGTTCAAAAACATTAAATTCCACCTTGTCATCTCCAATTTGAAGTACTAAGGTTCCCTTCTTGACATTGATCACTGCCCCAACAGTTGCCAAAAATGGTCTCCCAAGGATAATGGAAACTTTAGCATCCTCCTCCATCTCTAGAACCACAAAGTCTCCTGGGATGTAGAATTTGTCGATCTTCACTGGAACATCTTCTAGAACTCCAACTGGTACTTCACGGATCTATCTGCCAACTGAAGAGTCATAGACGTGGGTTTTGGCTCTCCCAGTTGTAGCTTCTTACACAAAGAGTTTGGCATCAAACTCACATTCGCCCCCAAATCACACAAAGCTCTTTGGACTAGGGATCCTCCAATAACACAAGGAATTGAGAAACTCCCAGAATCCCTAAGCTTAGGGGGCAGCTTGTTTTGGATCAAAGCACTGCATTCTTCGTTGACTGCCACTGTCTCACGATCTTCAAATTTCCTTTTATTAGACAAAATCTCCTTCAAAAATCTGGCATATGAAGGGATCTCGGTGATGGCATCAAGCAATGGAATAGAGATATCCAATTGCTTAATCAAACTCAAAAATGTTGCCCTTCTTTCCTCTACCTTAGATTTCTTGAATTTTTGTGGGAAAGAGAGGGGTGGTGTGTGCTTCAACATGGGCTCAATCTCTTGAACTATATCCTCCCTGTCCTGGACAATAACCTCTTCATTCACTTTTTCAGCCTCAACTTCCTGGTTCCTCTTGAAAAATTGTTCACTGACGGGATAAGGTGGATCCTGTAGTTGTTTTCCACTCCTAGTAGTAATGGCATTCAAGTATTCTCTTGGATTTTCAGGGCAAGCAGGCAACTTCCTCGTGACTCTAGTACTGGAGGTTGAGGCTTGATTTGCTAACTGATTTTCCAGCATCTTATTGTGGGCGCTCAGCTGATCCACCCTCTCTGTTAGTTGCTTGATGACCCTCTCCTCACTTTGCATCTGAGACTTAAGCAACTTTTCCATCATAGCTTCCAAATTTGACGAGGACGGTGCTTCCGCATTAGACAAGGTTTGCCTAGGCTGATTAACAGGAGCTTGGTATCCTTGAGTTGGCCTAAATTGTTGTGAATGACCCCCTCTATAATATTGTTGACCCTGAAACCCTGGAGGTGGAACTCTGTTGCCAAAGTTTTGGGGATTTGCCGCCCCAGCTGGATTACTCCATGAGAAACCTGGATGGTTCCTTGGTGCGTTTGGATTATAGGCTCCCTGTTGTGGGTATGACTGTTGTTGCCTACCATATCCCATTAGATCAACTTGCTCCATAGTAGTTTGTGAATCAACATTATAACACTCCCCCGAATTATGCTCTCCTCCACAAAGCTCGCACACCATTATAGGTCTTGAAAGAGTAGAGGATGTAGGAACATTACCCGCAGTTTGATTCTTGAAAGTAAACTGAGCCAACTGTTGAACTAAAGTAGCCATGTTGTCAACCTTAGCTGACAAGGCTGATATCTGCTCATCATCATTTACACTTCTTACCAACCTCTAGGAAGATCTCTCTATATACCAAGTTGTCCCATTCATTGCAATCTTTTTCAGAAGTTCCTCAGCATGATCTGGCTCCAAAACTGTGAACGATCCACTCGATGAAGCATCAACCAAGATTTTTGAATTATCCAGTAATCCCTCATAGAATGCCATCATCAAGTCCCAACTCTAAATACCATAGTGTGTGCATTGTCTCCTCAATTCCTTGAATCTCTCCCACGACTCTGCTAACGACTCACCAACCAACTGTTTGAAATTCTGAATTGGCCGCCTCATTTTCTGAGTCTTGGAGATGGGGTAGAATCTCTTCAAAAACTCCTTATGCAACTGGTCCCAAGTGTCAAAGTAGTTTGCTGGATAAGAGATAAGCTAGTTGTGAGCTTTATCCCTTACTGAGAATGGAAAAAGGTGAAGCTTGATAGCGTCATTAGGGACTACGTTAATTTTGAAAGTGCTATAGATCCTCAGGAATTTTGCAATGTGAGAATTAAGATCATCTGTTGGTGACCCTCCAAACGTATCTGAAGCAACCATCTGTATAATAACTGGTTTGATCTCAAAATTATTAGCGTCAACCCCCGGCACATTGATACTTCAATATTCCTCCACATTTGGGGCGATGTAGTCAGACATGGACCTCCGAGCGTGTGGTGGCTGATCAACTCCCGCTCCTTCATTAAGGTTCACATTATTCCGATTCACTTCCTGAGCCATCCTTCTCTGTTTCCTAAGGAGCTTGGCCTGCTTTTCAATCTCAGGGTTAAAAGGCTCTAATCCTTCGTTTCCCAAAAACCGAGTACGCATAAAACACCAAGTCCGCAGATCACAAATCAAAGCTCAACACAAGAAACTCGTTATCGGTTAGAATAATAATAATAAAATTAAAGTAAAATAGACTAGTCTCCTAGAATATATTTATCGGTTAACAATAATAATAATAACTCGTTATCGGTTAGCAACTAAAACGCCACTTCCCCGGCAACGGCGCCAATTTGATTGTAGTTACTCTCGTAATCTCTACTCCTAGTGAATATTCACTCTCGCGATATAAACACTCAATAAGAACAAGAATCAGCATTTGTAAATTCCTAATTACTACCATCTCTCGATGTGAAATATTCAAGAATAAATTCCTCAACTAATAAGCACTTTCCCAAGGTGCACAGTCAAGTGCAATCGTGTGTGCCATAAATTATGCCTAACTCCCGTTATGAACTAAATATGACTATGAAGCAAGTAATTTAGGAATTTAATTACTAGCAACAACAATTTGATACGCGATTGCAACACAAGTAATAAAACCAGACATAAATATATTAATAAAATTAAACTCTTTGCACATAGGTTCATAAACACATTCACCCAAAAATCCCCAAGGTGTTTTAGCCACTCACAGTCATTATAGCATTCAATACAAATTCAGAGAATAAATAATTAACAATTGAAGTAAAAGAAAAAAGGAAAGAGTTCTCCCGAATCTTCCTAGCGATTTCTCTACTCCAAAGCTGATTGTAGATCTTGATGTTGTTTTTCTTGATTTGCTCTGTTCTTGCCTCCAAAAACGCAGTCTGAACCTCTAGGGTTGATGGAAGGAAGTCTTTTTTATAGTGGATACCAAATGGGGGCAATTTAGGAAGATTTAGCGCCTTGTGGAAATTCTGGAACCCGCGATCTCGACGCGCCGAGCCTCCGTAACAATCTTCAAGTTCGCTTACTGGAAATTCTCGACGCGTCGAGCCTTCGATGCCTTCATTACCACTTCATTTTGACTCCACTTGTGCTTGGAAAACCTCCCTTGCTTTTGCACTTGTCCTGTAATGGTTTAAAAACACTTATCAAACACCGTAAAACATTCAAAGCAAGTTTAAAACCATATCCTAATGAGAAAGCAAGTAAAATAGGTGTTGAACATACCAATCTAATTAACTTAAGCTTTCAAAATGATTCAAATTACCAATAAAAACATGTATACTTGAGATTTCATCAGCAACCTACGATGCACCACCTACTAACAAATATCCCCTAGCGATTAGAAAAGAAAAGATCTCCAAACGCATACCCGATGCCCTCCAACCAATGCACAACCCAAAACATTACATTGCACCACACCTAGCGCACTGATGCACTACTCAATGACCTACGATGCACATCCCTAAAATCATAAATTTATCAATAAACATAATCAAAAGTATACTCCAACGAACCGCAAAAAAAAAATGAAGAAGAAGAAGAAGAAGAAGAAGAAGAAGAGAGAACAAACCTGAAGTCACGTTGAGAAATCACCACTAGCCACGGAAAAAATCAAGAGAATAACAAAGGAAAATAAAAATAAACACATACAAAAATAAAGGAAACTATCTGAAAAAATCTCTAAAACTATCTGAAAAAATCTCTAAAATCACGCGGCATGATACAACATACGAAATTACTAAAATACCCCTTTGCACAATAAATAAGAAAAAATAAATATTAAATAGCCATTCAATCCTAGATTTTAGATCTTGCTGGACGGATAGTCCAGATTAGACTATAATTCCAATCGGGGAGTGATTTTCATATCAACTGGAGCCATGTTGTCACAACCCTGAGATTAAAAACCAAATACACAGAAGCAGAGATAGAGAAAAGAAGAAGAAACAGATAGAGGTAGAGAAGAGAAGTAGAAATAGGTAAAGAAGAGAAGAAGAAAGAGGTCTAGAGGGAAGGAAAGGAAATTAGATTCCTGATTTCAATTCAACAAAAGCATAAAATTTCTGAAAGTAAAAACAGCCAAATAAATAGACTAAGTCTAGCTAATACATCCAAAATCCATTCTAACAAACTCCGGATCTCAAGCTCAGCAGCCCACAACCGTTGGATCCTTTGAGGTTAAAACGACGGCGCTTCATTCAATTTAAACGACCTCCAACGGCTTCGGCTTCCAACGACGACGTTTGAATAAGTGGCCAATTTTATTCGAGCCCTAATTGCAAAACGACTTATTTGAGCCCTAATTGTAAAACAACACCGTTTGTCTCTTGCTCTAACTTCCGGGTCGTAACATTACCTTCCCCTTTAACCGATCCTTGTCCCCAAGGATCAAGCAAGGAGAATTGAGTTCAATCCAATTTTTCCATTTGCTTGCAACACATCCCAGTAACAAAAACTCCACTGTTTCACAAACTCAAATCTTTCCATTTGCTTGCAACACATCCCAGTAACAAAAGCTCCACTGTTTCACATAAATTATGTTCAGCTTCAGTTGAAATATTTAGCCGTCCAAACACTCGAACCCACAGTTCACATACCAGTCTAATAGTTCTCTTGTCAAGCAGATAAGAGAGGTTTCTTGATTTCAAAGATTCCAGGTAAAAGGATCGATCGGTACTTCATCAGACATTAAAACTCCTGTGTGAACCACACCATCATGCAAGTTCTTGCCAGGCTCACTTACATTCAAATGGTATACACTGCAAGACAACATCTCCAAGCACTTCTCTGCTGCAGAAAGTGATGACACTATCACATGTCAATTGTCTGCTCGCATTGGAAGCAGGTTTCTTTGATTCACTATGCATCAATTCTTCAAAATGTTTGTCAAGGTAATCACTATCTGCATTTTGAAGCATGTGAAAATCCATCTCAACAGTCGCTGTCACTAGAGCTCTTAGATGATAGATGTTCTAAACCCTTGGGGAAATGTGGCATATAAATCATCTCACATAAGCTACATCAAGCTCCTCCAGAGAATCTCTGTACTCATCTTGACTGTTCAAGCTACCAATCACATCCTCGAGGAACAGAGCCCATTGGAGAGCTCTCTTGATATTACCCGAATCCCAGTGGGCAAGACGGCCAGATGATTGATACCCAGAAGCTAGAATCAACATATCTATGAACCCTTTTATTGCTTTCAGCAAATCTTTGTCTAGCTCAATCTTTAGAGCAGCATTTCCATGCTCATCTGTAAAACTTACCGAATTTCCAATCTTTTTCTTAGAGACTTGAAGGGAATTCAGTCTCTTATACTCATTGAAGAGTTCATATGTAGCTTCCTTAATCATTTCTGCTAACTCTCTTAGCATGCCACATTCCATTCCAATTCTTTTCTATTCACTTCTGCTCAGATGTCAATAGATCAGAGGTCCACCAAGTTAGGTGAACCCTCCTTATGCCTCCAAGGATAATTCAGCTCAGATCAGTCTACTATCTGGTCACCAGAATAATATTAGGGATATGCTGTAGAAGTCCATAATGTGCAAGAAGAGCATGTGTCATCCGAATTCTGTGTGGCTTCATTGGGGCCTTGCCCATAATAATAATTCCCAACTCATTGTGGCTGCATCTCTATCTCCAGTGTACAGCATCTGATGTATGATAGGAAAATATGGTATATTACTCCTTTACTGACATTTGTAGTCCCATCTTTTTACCCACCAAATTCTTCCATTCTTACAGACCACTGCCAAGCTTTTTAACGTACCAAGAGCCCTAGCATAATGTGATAACTGATAACTACTAGAAGACCTTCTAGGATGGCAGCCAAAGCACATCAATTTGAAAACAGTAAGTGTACTTCTCAATGAAAAATTAAAGTTCCTATGCCATCCCTTCACATGAATCAACCCCAACAGAGCCAAATTATACCCACAATTGCAGTCAAATACTCTCCCAATTCATTGAGCTTTTATCACCCCTTTCATCTCCCTCATACCAAGTCAAACAAATAGCATTACAGCAGCACAATCAATAATAGTTTAAACTTGCAGCAACAAGAAACTTATAATTTTAGCATTCCTCCCGGATCAAATGGAAATTCACTCCACCATGGTATTTTATGATTGACATTGAAGTAATATGGTTCCACAACTCTCACCACTCCTCTCAAGGTAGTTAAAACTATTCCATCATTAGATGCATATTCAATATTCAGTCCTGAAAATTTACCACCTAAA